TATCCAACATTGACACTGTCCGTCCTGCAAAACCTTGGTCATCAGACGGCTCATTCCTCAATTTTCTCTCGACAATCAACATCGACAACAACAGCACCCGAACAACTACCACCTTCATGAAGTTCTTCACCGTCACATCAGCTCTAATCTCCGCCTGCGCTATCACCGAAACCACGGTATCCGCACAGACCACGGGTGCTCCGTGGGGGTACAAGACCAACGACCCCACCATGGGCGGACCGGCGCAGTGGGCCGACCACTACCCCACGTGCGGCGGTTCTCGTCAGTCACCCATTGACATCACCACCACGACGGGTGGAAACGTGGCAACACGCTCATTGGCATTCAGTGGCGAGTGTGCCAACTTCAATCTCACGCAAGCGACTGATACGTTCGTGGCAAGTGTCGTTGGCGGTAAGTCATTGTGCACGTATGAAAATGTGTGGCACTTAAAACTAATGCCTTCATCGTATCACTTTTATTCTATTATCCGCAAAACAGGGTCCTGTGCGGCATCGGCGAACGGTGCCTCCTACAGCATGGCGCAGCTCCACCTCCACGCCCCCTCCGAGCACACACTCGACGCGAAGCCGCTGGACGGAGAGGTCCACTTCGTCCACAGCAACGCAGACGGCTCTGCTCTTATGGTCGTGGGTGTCTTTCTACAAGTAGCGAACACAGACACGACGGACCCGTGGATGGTCTCGGTGCTCGACGGGATGGAAGCTGTCACGCCGGCCGCTGCAACCACGATGAACCTGTAAGTTATCAACCCCAGAATGGTTGACCCCTTTGCGAGTAAGAACAAATTACTAACATTTGTGCCTTATCGTTTCTATTCAGTGGCTTGTACGCTAACGTCGTGAACACCAACGCCGTCCGCACCTACAACTACCCGGGTAGCCTCACGACTCCTGGTTGTGACGAGATCGTCGACTGGTGGGTCGTGCAGCAGCCCATGTCGATCTCGTCGGCGGACTTCACCCGCTTGCAGACGCAGCTGAAGGAGCTGTCTGTGACGGACAACGGCAACAACGCTCGCCCCGTGCTACCACTGAACGGACGCACCGTTGTAAGTCTGCAGTAGGCGCTTTGAGGTTTTGTTTGTAGACCGTATCGATTGTTGCTTTGATCAATAACATTGAAGCGGTTTGCATCACTTTGTTCAGTGCATCTTGAGCTCCTGGTTCGCTTTGTGTGTGTACCGGTATGTGTTGTTTTGGTGGGAGCAGCGCGTTATTACAAATAACTAAATTCAAGGCAAAAAAAACTATATGAATAATCTACTTCGAAGTATTTTTTTTGTTTAGGGGATGTTCCGCAAAGAATTGCATCAGCTTCAACGTTATAACTCGCGTCCAGGACCTCCTGCGACTGATCCAAATCGACCGAGAATATATAATCGGATGACAAACCTTCTTCCGTTTGCACTTCTGTCCACAGACAATTGTGGTGAACTACTTAAGCGTAGACCATGTGGTGATTTTGCAAGTGTCATTATGCTGGTGTAGTGTGCGACGCGTTGACCACCTGCTCTCTGGATTTGATATTCAGAGTTTCCCGAGTTAGGAGGCGAGTCATTCTGACCCAAAACTACTTTAACATAAAAACTAACGTTTTTAACAGAAAACTCAATTAAACTAGTTTACTTCAGCACTTAATACGTCTGTTATATAATATCTACATTGGATTGTCATACCCAAAATAGTGGGGTTTCTACTGTAAACGTGCCTAGCCTGCCATTTCAGCTTGTTTCAGAAACAGTATGCTTCCTTTAATCAAGAAGAATGGTAATGTATAACTTAATATCCTCTGTACCAGTGATGTCAGCTAGGGGAATGTTGCTTGTGTTGGCCAAGGGTAACATCACTTGAAATTACGACTAACTGAAGTAATTTAATGCGCTTAAATGTTGTTCGAACAGACTTTAGCTTTGATGCGGCTGTGGAGCAGGAGCAGCAGATGCGTACGATATACCATACCGCCAATAGCTCACTTGTGATTGCAGTGCGACTCGCACAGTGTGATCACGTTTTATAAACTTCGGTATACGACTGCAGAAGTAGTTTACAGTAATGTGTTAAAAAGGAAAGCATGGGAGCTGGTATCCTTGTAAACATTATTTAAAAGAAATTGACAAGTACATGCAATTTAAAGCTCGGCAATAAGGAACGCACGGGGTCTAATATTCTGTAGAGTTAATACAGATCAACTTGAAAAGTATGCATTTTGAGTATGCTAAGCTCCTTACTGACAGTGTACATGTACATGTGAAAAAGCAACCGCCCTACACACAGTACTAGTAGTGTAATCCAGAGCTTCTCCGTGAAACACGGCTTTGTCTGAGCTTCGTCGATAACTTTAATGGCCCCCTTCAAACAACCGCCAAAATTTAGCGTCACTGACAGCTTTAAGGCCTCCCACTTGGCCCCCTCGCTAGGCAGATAGTGCAAATCAAGACCAAAGATACTACCCCAAAAGATATCCACGTCCGAATGTCTCCAACCGAGACAATAAACAACGAATCATGCATCCCTCAATTTAGTAATGACAGCAAACAACAATAACACATTTATTATCAGCAACAGCCCGATGAAATTCTTCGCCACCGCATCCGATATCATCGCCGCCTGCACCCTAACCAAAGCCGCCGCGTCTGCTACTTCCCCGGGTGGCGCACCATGGGGGTACAGAACCGACGACCCCACCATGACCGGACCGACACAGTAAGCCACACTTGCGGGGGTTCTCGGTAGTCGCCCATTGACGTCGCCACTACGACGGGGGCAAATGTGGCTACGCGCTCGCTGTCGCTCAGTGGCGAATGTGCTGCCTTCAACCGCACACAGACGGATGACAGATTCAAGGCTAGTGTCCTGGATGGTAAGCTCGATTGAAACCTTAGCAAAAATCTAAGCGCCACGTTCTAACCTGCTATCGCCTCGCTTTAAACAATAGGTTCGTGCACGACCCAAGCCAACGGTGCGTCCTACAAAATGGCGCAGTTCCACCTCCACACTCCATCAGAACACACTCTGAACGGCAAGCCACTAAACGGCGAGGTCCACTTCGTCCACACTAATGCAGACGGCTCCGCATTGGTGGTCGTGGACGTCTTCCTCGACGTCGTCAACAGGTGTGTAAAAGTATTAGATCAGCACTGACAACAGCTATGCTGCGTTATCTGTAGTGATTCGTACTCCAAGGAGGTGAGCGCCAACGCGAACCGACTGTACAACTACCCCGGAAGTCTCGCGACGCCTGGTTGCGACGAGATTGTCGACTGGTGGGTAGTACAGAAGCCTATCTCTGTATCCCCCAAAGATTTCAAGCGTCTGCAAGCCCAACTGAAAGAGCTGAAGGTGGCTGACAAGGGTAACAACGCTTGCCCCGTTCTGCCGCTGAACAGACGCAAAGTCACCAAGTAGAGAAATACATGGCTTTCCTTCCTACATCCAAAGAAGTAATTAGGTAAAAAACGACCTCATAAAATGAATCCTTAAAAGATTATCATTTAGCAATCTCGATATATTGGAACTCAAAAACGATAAGTATATTTACGCATGGTTGTTCTTTTTGTGCTTCTTCTATTTGAAGCTCTGAATAGTACGGTCGTTGAGCGCCTGCACCGGGCGAGAATTCTCGTTTTTATAATTCATTTTGATCTCTCCTTGGTTCTCTCGAATGCGCGTAAGGTCCTTAGCCGAAATTCTCATCGGTTTCTCCACCACCCACCAGTCGACAATCTCGTCACAACCGGGAGTTGTCAGACTACCGGGGTAGTTGTAGAGAGTACCATGACCAACGCTCTTCCTGATCAGCGCCGAGTAGGACGTCCTGGAAAAAAAAAATTAGTTTTCAGTGGACAACAAAGGATCCAGACGAGGCAAACTTACAAGTCTAGCATGGCCGGCTTGGTAGAGGAAACGTCGTCGATCCCATCGATGACGGCTTCCAACCACGGATCCGTGTTACCCGAAGGGTCGATCTCCATGAAAACCCCAACAACTAGTAGGGCGGAGCCGTCGGCATTGCTGTGAACGAAGTGGACCTCGCCGTCAAGAGGCTCTCCATTCAGAGTGTGTTCCGAAGGAGCGTGCACGTGGAACTGCAGCAAGTCGTACTGAGCCTTGTTCGCCTTCACCTGACAGGAGCCTGTACAGAGTTTCAGTTAGAAACACTGCGGGAATACCGGCATCATCAACGCGTACGCACCATCGATGACAGCTCCCTTGTAGCCTTCTCCACTCTGTGTGAGATTGAAAGAAGGGCAGGAACCTCTGAAACGAAGAGTGCTCCTCAATTTGGATCTCTGCTCGACGTCTGTTGGCACTATGTCGATTGGGGACTGATTGGTGCCGTTGCACGCAGGGTAGTACTCACCCCACTGTGCCGGGCTGGCCCTCTGCGTATCTTTAGGATTGTAATCCCAAGGAGCACCATCAGCGCCAGCAGCAGCAACAGACGACGCGGCCAAAACGCAGGCTGCTACAATAGCTGAGATTGTAACGATGAACTTCATCTCGGAAGGTCGATAAGGTGATTGGTTTTGCACTCAGCGAATTAGAAAATGACAGCAGTGATTAAATTACAGTAAAATGACTTGGGTGGGGCAAGGCAACACGACAACAAAGCTGGAGACCGGCGTAGCCCAGCCTGAGATCTCGACGACAACTCTGCGATTTGCCAACAGCCCAAGGAAACGAACAAAGTCTTGTCGCATTAACAAACTTAGGTCGTAAACACTAGAGTACCTGGAACTGCTGTGCACTTTTCGTGGGGCCAGGGGAGCTGCAACTGCTGCACGAACAGTCGATCGACATGCATGTGCTCAGTCAATTTAAGTAATTACCAAGCGCTGGCCCTTACACATCTCGACTTCAAGACGCTTGGAGAAAAGCCACACCATTTGCCACCAATAAATACCAAATACATTTTTTTTAAATGCTACAAGTGCAGTACGTGCGTTTTTGTGCTCAAATTAAAAATGAAATTGTTTTCTTAGACCGGGAGCATTACCGGCACTGTACTTACAAATTCAGGGAAATGCTGGCTGCAACGTCTAAATGCGGCACCGTTGCACTCAAAACAGCACAAGGCACCTTACCAAACAGTGTAACGTTACGAAATTAATCGGTCAGTTTGCTGATAGAGGCCCACATAAAATATTAAAAAGAACCGTATTTTTATATTAACCGTATAAAAAACCATTTTAAAAACCTTTTTTATACCGTCAATTGTACGGTGCTTTTTTAAACAAAAACATACAAATTTTGTAAATTCGCCCGCTACAGTATTTTCAAACGCGCATGCCAATCGGAATTCCAATGCCTGGAGATTCGAGCAGACTGCAAGTACCAATTTCAGGTTACCGGTACCAGAATATGAAGTTGTTTTACGGCCTACGTTTGCGAATCTTCAAATCATTATGATTATGTTGCTATGCCGGAGTGTGGTAGTTGTTGTTGTTCGCTGCATGAATGCCAGCCAATCCGACGTTGCATCTCCGCTGGCATTGAAGAGCCGACACCACGAAAACGCTTTACCGTTACAGAATGACGCAGGAGTGGGCATAAAACTGTACATCCCCGTAAGCAATTATACATGTAATACATGTAACGGGCCGTTCACATGTCAGCTATTGTTGTTAGTTAAATGTACACTGCGATGTTACCGTACGTTAGCATCGAAAACTCCGAGGTGAAAATTAACCGCAGCTCGCTGCTATTCATACTTCGACTGCCCACATTTGTTTTCTTTGTGCACTATGGTTGGAGGTCATCACGCTCTCTTCACGGCCCCAGTGCCATATCCGCATTCCAACCTCACGACCCACGGCATAAATACGGAAGTGGACGCTCTCAAGGAAATTTGGGAAATTGCTATGATAGACATATTACGCGGTGACGACGCGGCCTTTGAGCGAACTAACCGGGCATCCGTTCTCGCCGTTGTCGGCGATCAGGAGCTACTCCAGCTGTGACTGATGTCGAGTAAGGTCGGTAGTGGAGAACTTCACAAGCTGTTTGACCACCTACCAGTCCACGATCTCACTGCACGCTGGAGTAGTGAGACTACATGCGTAGTTGAACACTCTTTGGACGTCTGCCGCTGCGTTGATAACATTGGCGTACGAAGTCCTGCGTAGGACGAATAAAACAGTGTTCGTAAGCCCGTAGTGCCATGAAAAGTAGAAATTACTTATGTCGACATGCCGACCAGGGGTTAATATTACCGAGAAAAAAGTGGTAGTAATATTACCGGTAATACTAGCGTATTTTTGCCCCGATTATACTACTAATATTAGTCAAAACACAACATGGTAGTAGTATTAGTACTATTATTTCTAATACTCAAAGTACTACTCTGGTACTTTTGAAGCGTCGCGCACCTTGCGCGCGTCTTGCTTCAACCTAACAATCTCGTCCCTGTTGTGCCTCAGCATTAGCTGCTTCTCCGACCGTCTGCTATCTGTTCTGGTACGAAGCGGCCCCATGATTATCCCCCCCTGTGGAAAACACTCGCTCTTGGAAGGCCAGGGATGAGATTTTGCCGAGGTGAATTCGTGCCAGAAGCGCCATCGAAGGGTACAGGCTTTCGCCTTCATCACGGAACCACTGTAGCACATCAACATGTTTGTACAGCCCCAGTAAGGACCAGTGTAATGGGCTCTCCCAAGTTACATATGTAGGTAGTTTTATAGGTTCTTTGTAGTGGTTCACACCATTACATACGTAGGTAGATTTGCATTACAAAAGTAGGTGCAGCAGCACACGAGTAGCGTGTGCTGAGCTGCCGTCATCTTATTGGTTGAAATATGGGGAGCCAGACCCATAATCAACCAATAAGGAGTTGACGTGTATTAGAGTGGTCAGGGCAAGCCGCCCTGGACCTAAATAAAAACAGAGTTGATTTTCCTTCCGACTAAGTACTTGGTTC